TAAAAAAAAAAAAATACACTGCCTTCCAGGCCCTTCTGCCCCCAGGGTCCAGACCCAACAATGCCTTCTGGCCCTAAACCCAGAGCTGGGCCCACTTCCAGAGCTTCCTTATAGTGGTACCTGTGAGACCAGAGGCATCTGAGTGTGGCCTGATGGGGTTCCCTGTAGAGCCCCGCTTTCCGTGTACCCCTAAGGCAAAGAGGATGTTATCTCAAGAAGTATCTTCAAGGATCTGGGTCCCAGGGGGTTCCAGGGGGCCCACTTGCCTTTGAGGCAGGTTGGCACAATGGAAAGTCAAGCTTGGAGTGCATCTTCCCAGCCCTTTCTAGCTGTGTGGCCTTGGGCAGGTTACTGAATTTCTCTGGGCCTCAGACATCATACCCATAAAAGAACTGATAAATTCTACCATGATAATAACGTTCCAGAGCCTTACTGTGTGACAGGCATTAGTCCAAAAGCTTTACGTGGACTGCCTCATTCTGTCCTCATCACAATCCTCCGAGGAATAGACTCTTCAGTCCATTTTACAGATGAGGAAACCAGGGCCCAGTGAGGTGAAGGGACTTTCCCACGGTCTCATGGTGGTGGGGTGGGTGCCACCTTGCTGGTTTGCGTGAAGGTTGGGAGATGGGGCAAGGACGTGCTGGGCACTTAGTTGACGTTCAGTAACTGGGTGCTCCTGCTTCAGCCTAGCAGGGCGAGGGCAGGTCCTGAGGCTGCACCTCCAGCCCTACCTGCTGCCTCTCTCTGCTTGGCTCTGGAGCTGCTGGGGGAAGCCCAGGTGGGTGTTCCTCGCCTGTTGCCCTTCTCCCTAGAAGGCAGGCCATGCCCTTTCGAGTTGGGGTGAGGACGAACCTCTTGTTTCTTTTTTTTTTTTCTTTTTTTCTTTTTTTGTTTTTTAATCACTTAGGCACATATTCATCAGGTTGAGGACGAACCTGTTTGGGAGCCCAGCCCAGGTGAGATCAGTTTGGAACTGACCCATGCTCCCCTCCCGCTCCATCCCTGGCGCCCCCTCTTTTCCTCTCCCCAGGAAGTGAGGGTGTGTCCCAAGGCGGGCAGCACCCCCAGCCGGCAGCCTCTGACTCACCCCAGCTGGGTGTGGGGGCCTCCAGGGCAGTGCCCGCCCTGGGGAGAGTGGAGGCTGTGTGTGCCAGACAAGGCTGAGACCTCTCCTCCCCCTCCAGCTCTGGGACAGAGGAAGCACACGACCCATGGACTGTGCTTGGATTCACAGGCTTGGAACCCTCCAGGGACAGGGCCTGTCGAGAGTGGCCCCTTCCTGTTCCCTGGGAGAGCACTGGAGGCCAGCCTTCCCATCCCTGGTACAGGAGGGGTGCCAGCCACCCGCCTCCCCTCCTGCCTGGGAAGTTTTCCCGGCTTGGCCTTGTTTGTGCTTTCACAAAAGGCTCTCTGTGCCCTGTTTACCCGCAGCCCGCCTGCCTGCCGCCCAGGTGTGGAAGCCACGCCAAGTCCCTGAGGGCCCACATGGGGTCTGGAGCGTGCTGGGGGTCTCCCTCTGGGACAGACTGGGCAGCTTGTCATTTCTTGACTCCCTTCCCTGTCTGTGAGAAACATCCAGTGGATGTGGACTGGGGCTGAACCTAAGGACTAGCTCTGAAAGCAGATGGCCCACTCTGCCATCCTGGGGTCCTGGGAGGGTCTCCAGGTGTTCGAGGTTCTTCGAGTCCCAGGGATCCTGGGGGGTCTCTGAGTGGTCTGGCCCTGCTCAGAGACAGTGGTGCTTGAGGCTCGGCCCTCACCCAGGTGAGTCCCCACTGAATTCTGGGAAGGTTGTCTGTGATGGCAGGTGGGACTGTGAAATGGCAGCCTCTGTGTGCCGGGTGCTGTATTGACACATGATGCCTTATGTTATTTTTAATTCTCACGATAACCCGTTTCACAGCTGTAACCCATTTTAGGCTGTAATATTTCCATCTTGCAGTTGAAGACACAAAGGCTCTGAGGCCCCAGTGAGGCAGTGGTGGGGTTGGCATTAGAGTTGCCCAACTCTGGGGCTGAGCTCCTCTCCGCTCTGCTCCCAGGAAGTGAAGACCACAAGCTGCTGAGCATGTGTGTTACGGGGTAGGGCAGGGAGGATGGGGCTGACCTGTTTCTAATATATGGATGGCAGCTACTCATAAATTCTTTTTTTTTTTTTTTTTTTTTTTTTGAGTTGAAGTCTTGCTCTGTCACCTAGGCTGGAGTGCAGTGGTGCAACTTCTGCTCACTGCAACCTCTGCCTCCTGGGTTCAAGCGATTCTCCTGCCTCAGCCTCCCTAGTAGCTGGGACTACAGGTGCCTGCCACCATGCCTGGCTAAGTTTCATATTTTTAGTAGAGATGGGGTTTTACCATATTGGCCAGGCTGGCCTCGAACTCCTGACCTTGTGATCTGCCCACCTTGGCTTCCCAAAGGCTGGGATTACAGACATGAGCCACGGCACCTGACCTCATACATTCTTTTTTTTTGTTTGAGACAGAGTTTCACTTTTGTTACCCAGGCTGGAGTGTAATGGCTGATCTCAGCTCACCGCAACCTCCACTTCCTGGGTTCAAGTGATTCTCCTGCCTCAGCCTCCCTAGTAGTTGGGATTACAGGCATGCACCACCACGCCCGGCTAATTTTCTGTGTGTGTGTGTGTTTTTTTTTTTTTAAGTAGAGATGGGGTTACTCCATGTTGGTCAGGCTGGTCTCAAACTCCCAACCTCAGGTGATCCACCCGCCTTGGCCTCCCAAAGTTCTGGGATTACAGGCCTGAGCCACCGCGCCCGACCTATAAATTCTTTTATTATCCTGAGAAACTACACAGTGAGAAAGGTCTTCTGATTCATTTCCAAGTAGTTTTTCTACTCATAAACATACCAGATATTTTTTTTTTTTTTTTTTTTTAAGACGGGGTTTCACCATGATGGCCAGGCTGGTCTTGAATTCCTGGCCTCAGGTGATCCACCCACCTCGGCCTCCCAAAGTGCTAGGATTACAGGCGTGAGCCACCGCGCCTGGCCAAAATACCAGATTTAAATAATAGAAGAACATATAATGTAGACAGCCTTCTAAAATCTTACCACTAGTAGACTTAATGCTATATAGTGCTGTATATAGCTTTCTAATTTTTTTTCTGTACACATTAATAAGTTTGTTATTGATATAATTTTATTTTTTGGACAGAGCCTTGCTCTGTCGCCCAGGTGGGAATATGCAGCATGGTCTTGGCCCACTGCAACCTATGCCTCCCGGGTTCAAATGATTCTGCTGCCTCAGCCCGCCGAGTAGCTACGATTACAGGCATGTGTTACTATGCCTGGCTAATTTTTTTGTATTTTTAGTAGAGATGGGATTTCGCCATGTTGGCCAGGCTGGTCTCGATCTACTCACCTCAAGTGATCCACTGCCTTGGACACCCAAAGTACTGGGATTACAAGTGTGAGCCACCATGCCCAGCTGTCATTCTTGTTTTTAAAAATTGTATCAGTAACATATCAGGCCAGGCCCGTTGGCTCATGCCTGTAATCTCAGCACTTTATGAGGCCAAGGCGGACAGATCACTTGAGGTCAGGAATTCGAGACCAACCTGCCCAAAACGGCAAAACATTGTCTCTACTAAAAATACAAAAATTAGCCAGGCATGGTAACACATGCCTGTAATCGTAGTACTCAGGAGGCTGAGGCAGGAAAATCGCTTGAACCTGGGAGACGGAGGTTGCAGTGAGCTGAGACCATGCCACTGTACTCCAGCCTGGGTGACAGAGTGAGACTCCACCTCAAAAAATAAAATAAAATAAAATAAAGACATTATACTTTTTTCCTAATTTTGTTATTGTGGTAAAATACACATGACATAAAATGTATCTTCTTAGCCATTTATAAGTGTACACTTCAGTGGTATTAAGTACATTCATACTGTGCATCCGTCAATACCACCCAACCCCTCTCCAGAACTGTTTTCATCTTGCAAAGCTGAAACTCTTCTGCCCGTTAAATGCTCACTCCCATTTCCTACTCCTCCAGGCCTGGTATCCCTTCTGCTTTCTGTCTATTCACTTATGTAAATAAGTGAAATCATATAGCATTTGCCTTTTATAACTGGCTTCTTTCACAGATAACACATTTTTTGTACTGCTCAGCAACATTCTTTTATGCTTAATATCTCTGAGACATCTTTTGGGTCACTGCATACACATCTACAAGGAAGGTGATGTTATTCCTGATTTTTTTTTTTTTTTTCTTTTTTTTGAGACGG